AGGACACAGCCTAGCAAGAGCCTGCATGCCTGGCAGACGGATGCTGAGCAGCCTGGGAGGAACTCCACAGTATTCGAATGCTGGAAAGGGGGTGGGATTTTTGTGTTTTCTTGTTTTGTTTTCTGTAGATAAGGCGTCACAGAAAGTCATGGAACAGAAAAGGGTGATCCTGGAGGAGTAGGGCACAGGAAGGGGAGGCAGATCTAAGTCTGACCCCACCATAGGGGAGCCTAGAGTTACTCCTGGGAAGGAAGAGCCTACGGATCCTCTATCCAGTTCACCCTGTGACTTTAGGTGGGAAATTGAGGCTCAGAGAGGAGCAAGTGGTTGCTTAGAGTCACAGACATCAGCAAGGGGCAGGATACATGGAGAAGACAGCAAGAAGGAGTGAGAAGACCTCAGACCATGAGAGAGACTCAGAACCCCACTGCCACCACGGCTGGGTCCCAGTGCCCAGCCTCCACCCTGTGGACTATATGCTCGTGGACCAGTCCCGTGTGAGTCCATATCCCCTCAGGGTGGAGGCCCAGAAACAGGGGGACAAATGGCCCTCAGAGGCCCCCCCTACCTTTGGGCCAGCTAAGCAGAGTTCACTGGAAAGAGGCGGATGTTCCCCAGCCAAGAGTGGACCCAGTGTGGTAAGTGGGCAAGTGAAGACCTGGGGCTGGAGTGGAACTACGGGCAAGTTTTCATTTCTTTCTTTTTCTTTTTGGCTTATCTGTATATTCTTATATTTCTGTAACAAATGGGTATTATTTCTACAAGAAAGAAATTAAATACCAAGCCCAGCCTCCCACACTATCCTGGTTATACCCACAAACCATTGCTTATTGTAAGAGGCCTAATATGTTGAACCTGACCACACTGCTATCCAGAGCTTGCCCTGAACTCAGCTTTTTTACCTCTACTATTAGCCATCACCCATTCTACTTATCTGAAGTGAGTTAGTCACTATTCTCTTTTCTGACACCTTTCATCCTCCAATGGAATTCTTCCATCTTGTCCCCTTACCGAAATCCTCACCATTACCTTCATCCTTATGTCTTTCCTCATTTGTCCTCCTGGAAGCAAAATTTTTTGTCTGTGTTGCCAACATGTTTTGTGTTCAATGGTCATATGTAAATTGTTGCTCATAATACCTTGTGTATATAACAAGAGGAAAAATTTGTCACCTTTGGCTAATTTATAAAGCATTTTTATATCCACCAATCTTCTTTTATGCTCACAAGATTAGGGGAAAAGAGAATCAATACTTACTTAATGGCAACTGTGTGTCAGACAGTGTGTTTGAGGTTTTATGTGTATCATTTCACTTAACCCTCGCAGCAGTTTCATAGGTCTGTTTTACATATGAAAACATAGGCTCACAAGTTCATTGACTTACTGGGGTCTTACTGGCAAAAAGCATGGCTGAGGATTGTGTGTGTGTGTTTTAATATTTTGGTCTTGTTCTTTCTATTACAAAAACATAACGGTACATCTACCAATGTTGGAGACACCAATAAGTACAGATAAAACTCCACTCATGTTTTCTAGCACACTAGAACTGCTGTATTCAGTTAATACTTGGTAGCCAACTAAAGTCAGAGGATTTTAGAGCTAGGAGAGACCTGATAGATCATCTAAGCCAACCCCTGTATGTTATAGATGAGAAATACGATCTTCAGAGAAATAAAATTTCCTGTGTATACATGTGCCTAGTTAGTAGAGGAGCCAGGATTAAAACCCAGTTGGAGGCAGTATAGTAAAGTGGTGAATACTATGGCCTTTAGAGTCAGCATTGTTCCAAATCACAGGTCTGATACTTCAAGATTGTGTATAACCTATTATGATTTACAGATCTTATCTTTGTTTCAGTTATTTAATCTGTAGGAGGAGGATAATAAAACCCTATAGTGCTGTGAGGATTCAATGTAACACTGAATAGCAGAAAGTAAGCAACATTAATATTAGGTATTCTCTTATAGCCTATCTCACTGTCCAATCTTCTTTACAGGATACTGCCATTGCCTTTTTTAGATGACTGAAGTGGACATATTTCGAGGGCAAAGTGAGTAACAATAAATATGCATTTATTTATGTGGTAAGTCCCTTTTAAAAAACACACTTAAAGATAAAAACAAGAACAGCACATTTGAAAATGGAATTGTTCATTCAATAAGTGTTTATTGAACACCTACTTACTATATGTCAGGCACAGTGCTAGATGCTGGGTGCGAGACAATGAAAAAACTGATATCTCAACCTTCATAAGCACTGAAATATGGTTAAAAACAAAGTATCACTGCCCTGACCAGGTAGCTCAGTTGGTTAGAGCATGGTCCTGATATGCCAAGGTTGCAGGTTCAATCCCTGGTCAGGGCATTAAGAAGCAATCAATAAATGCATAAATAAAGTGGAACAACAAGTTGATGTTTTTCTCTTTTTCACTCTCTCTTCTTTGTGTCTCTTTAAAATCAATTAAAAAAAAACATCACTGAGATCTACCTATGGGGCATGCAAAGCAAATATCTTTCATACAGTTAATACAATATAATAAAGTACACATCACAATGATACACACACACACACACAACTGAGTGGCTAGATTATTATGACCACCTGACGTTTGTAGGCAAATTAGCTATAATTTCGCGCTGAAGTTGCTAGAGGGCCAGACCATTATAAATAGGGAAGCAGGTTGTTTACCACAACAGAAGTGATTTTTTTCTGAAGATATGGGTAAACAATGCAATTTAACAGCCTTTGAACGTGGGAGATGTGTGTGTGTGTGTGTGTGTGTGTGTGTGTGTGTGTATATATATATAGAGAGAGAGAGACTGAGAGAGACTTTCAATAAAACAAGATACTCTTTAGAATTAAGTTCTGTTACTTCCAGTATTGGTCATTTCAACTATATTTTAGTGAATTCCCTGACAATTAGGTTATTTCTATTTCTCTACATTAAATAGAATATTGGAATGGGTATGTTTAATTAAGCATATTCCCTTAAAATATGTGATAATCACCATCTGTCTGAGGGTTATATGCGCAGGAGAGAACAGTTTTTCTAATAACCAGCAAATAGCAGTTCTTGACAGGGCATTACAAAGTTTAATTTCATGAATTTGTGATCATTCTCTTTCTCCATATACACACATGCATAAGTATATATGTATGTAAATATGTATAAAAAGCTGCCTAAAGAGATAGCTGATACTCTGGACGTAGAATCACGAATATACTGATAATCTCTTAGATTGCTTATATTTGTTTGAATTAGGATAATAAAACTGGCCAAGGATCAACACAGAAATCAGATTATTCATATCATCTGATTAGTCATACCCTATGTTAATTCCTAAAATCCCTAAAACATTCCTTAATCCTTAAAACATTAACATAAAAAATTAACTTCTTAATTCCTTAGCACAAGAATTTGATATACTATCCATCCAATTTTACCTGAGAGTGAAAATGATTCTGTTATGATTATTATGAGAGGAAGTGGAGAGCACAGTAAAAGAGCCGATGTGTAGAGTCGGGTAGACTGGGTTCAAACGTCAATTGCCATTTAATTGTATAATTTGTGGGAATGTCTTTGAATCTCAGTAACACATCTTTGAGTTTCAATATAAAATGTTTGCAAAATAGGGATAATATGATTTTTCTTGTAGAACTGTAGCAAGTTTAAATAAAATAATGGAAGTATGGTGTCTGGCAGACAATAGCTGTTTGTGGTATTGGTGATAGGCTATATTAATTTGACAGGAGATACCACAAATCAAGAGTAATGATTTACAAAATCACTGCCTGTCTAAACACATGTTGCTATATGGATACATGTAACGTCCATTAAATTATTACAATCCTTTCATCGGGAAACATAAATTGAAAACACAAGATTTGATAAAAAATGGCAAAACTGAGATGAAAGGAGATTATAAGAATTTGGTGAACTAGTATAAGATTAAAAGGTCCATGTGCTGTTCGAAACATGGTGCATTGCTTTCAAAAAGTAACAAGGCACTTGCTGATGCATCAGAGGCCTTCAATTGAACATATTTATTGCATTTTTCTTTATGGTAAAGTTATCCCTGGAACTTGTTTCGTAATTGGCTGTTTTAGAAAGAAAAATCAGCTGGCTTTTCTGGAGGAAAAAAAAGTGATTTAAATATAAGGTGGTGAGTGAAAACTGTTTACCTCAGGAAACTGCATTACTCAAGAAAGACAAGAGTCGCCAAGGTTTACTACATCATGTTTTGTTTTAAATCTTCGGCTGAATGAGAGCACCTTGCCTCTTTACAACTTTTCTGGCTACCCCGGACCTCCATCTAAAATTCTCCTGAATCCTTCATTATTGAGGAAGAAAATGCACCTGTTTCCTGATCACTGGTGTTTCCAAAAAGGAAAGCATGCATTTAAAAGCCCACGGTTTACACTTTAAGCTTGTTCTCTACCTCATGAGCTCATAGCAGCCAGGAAAATAAAGACCATTCTCACCTAATTCAAGACAGCTGCGAGGATGCTGAATTAATTCTAGATCAGGCAGGACCCTCACACCCCACTTCCAAAATGTTTGTAAAAGGTGTCCAGGACTGCCTGCTTTTCAGACACTGCAACCCAGGGCAACGGAAACGGTATTCAGGAAAAGTATCGTAAAAATCAGCTCTGGAGAAACCCTGCCAACAACGGGAGAGTAAGAACACTCTTTGATTATCAGTAGAGACACTCGGCAGTAAACCGAGTTGCGGTACACGGGGTCATCACCCCTGCTGAGGGACTTTTGGAGACGGGAGGTCAGTTTCCAACTTGGGGCTGGATACTGCAAGTGGAGAAGAGGGTAAGCCGCGCTCCCAGGGCCTTCTCTAGCAGTATAGAGGGCTAAGCACCCCAGCGATGGATGGATGGGGACTCCTGGTTCAACCCTCGCCAGCTCGCTCCGGGGTCCAGCCAAGATGCTGTACGGTGCCCTGACCGGAAATACCAGGCCCAGGAGGCAACGCGTAAAAATCACTTACCAGTATCCCACCTCCAGCGCTGATCTAGCAGGAGCCAGGCCAGCCCACCTGACAACGGCTGGACAGCGTCACTGACAACCACCCGGAAGTGATCCAATAGCTTCCGGGACCACGGAGCGCGCGGCGGGAAATTATTTCCCAGAGCCCGGATTAGCGGAGCAGCCAGTGCTGCGGCGGCGGCAGTCGGCAGTCTTCTCCCCTGTCACCCCTGCTACCGCCTGAGGGAAGCAGACACTCCGGCCTGGAAGGTAAAGGGCCTCCACTCGGAAGATACAGTGTACCCTGACTCCGTGGGGATGCGTCCTCTGTGCCCCCGAAGTTTCTGCCGTTCCCAGTTGAGACGCTAGGAAGGGGCGGGGGTGCGCGGCAGCCGCTCTTCTTCCCACTCGCCCGCCCTAGGCTCCCCGCGTGGGTGCGCGGTAGCGGCAGACCCCGCCCTGCCCCGCGGAGGCGATGGCCCCGAGCCCCTCTCTGCTGTGCGGGGGGCCGAGCGTTTTCCCCGCCCCCCGTTTGCGCCGCTCAGCAGCTCGGTCTCCAGCCAGCCAGGCGCTAGGCCACCGGCGTCTCTCGTTTCCATAGAACCGACTGGGACGCTTCTCCCAGAGCCCCAGCTTCTTGGCCGCTTTCTGTATTTTCGCGTCACAGCAGGTGGCCGGGATCTCCCAGGCCCACCTCCCCGTGACGAGGGAGATGGTGTCATTCTTTTCTTCCGAGGAGAATTTTTAAACATGTTCAAATGGTAGTGCAGCAACTATGATACGTCTGTAACTATCTCACACACACACAGGCACATGCACACGCGCATTTCCCTGAAGGTGGGGAGGGTCCGTGTTCCTGTGGGTTATAATATTTTAGCTACTTAAAAGGCTGGGAACAAGACTTAACGGTAATTCTGGGATTTCTTCCACTCCCAGAGCCTCTGATTAAATAGTGGCCAAAAAAGCTGGCCTGTCGCAGGTACTCCATATCAGAATTTGACCCAGAAATTAGATGGAGCTTGATGTTGGAAGCTCTTTATTTTTAAACATGACTATCCTATACCAACAAAATAAAAAGAAAATTTTACCATGGAAACAGTAGGAATTAAAACTAAAGCAGTATTTACTTAAGTGTACGAATGACACACTGCACCTTGTGAACTTTTTCGTTTGTTAGTACGTTATGCCTCAGCTCCTAGAAGTATCTTTGGATAGGCAAGATGTTCCCATTTTAGAAAAAGTTTAACCTGTTTTGCAGTTGTTCCGTACATAATTGAGAGTTTGGGGTAGACTTTTCTAAGGGGGTAAATTTGATCGTGTCTTCTAAGTTAACCCAAAGGTTAATATACATTGTAAATGTATACTTGAATGTATAAATTTTTCAAGGACTTGAATGTATAAATTTCTATTGTAAAGCCAGTCTTCAGTAATGCAAATAAGCACCTATTAGAGCTGTTCTCTAAATCCACAGTTTCTCTTGCCTTATGTACTTAAGTTCATTTATATGTTTGAATATTTTCCTGCTTCCCTAAAGCAGAAAACATAAATCATGTGGAAGTCTTTGAAAAGGTGGTCAAATGTGGGTACTTTTCATAGTCAAAATTCAAAACTCTGAAGATTTCATAATAGTTATCCACAATTTTCACTAATGTCTAAAAACATTAGGTTTTAGAAAAGCAAATATATGGCTTCATTAATTAGACAGTATTTAAAGAAAAAAAATTAAAAATAAAATCAACAATTCCATAGATCTTCCGAATAATAAAAGCTAAAGATAGTGAAGAACCATATTTTTCAAAAATATAACTAAAATGGAATATTATCTTTACTATTGTGATTGACTCTCCTTAAATATGCTATAAAATACACTATATACTGTTTCTTACCTTTGAAGGACATCTTGCTGCTTAAAAGTAAAAATATCCCTAAAACTTTTAGGTTCACATAGTTTTTATATCAAAATTATTTGAAATAACAATACACTGTTTTTCAAAGTTAGCAATTGTTACTTTATCATCGAGTAATAGTTAAAAAAAAATTTTTTTTACGAAGAAGAAAAGCCCATATGAATTAGTCTAGTGATTAATACCAAATCTATTTTGAGAGAGAAATAATGAAAACTTTCTTTTTTATTAAAAAATGGCACTCTTGACTTTCTAGAAATGCTTTGAAATTTTAGATATTAGTGTTATTTTTCTGAAATTACTTTATAATATCAATATTTTCAGTGATATTATCTAAACGTCTCCCCACCCTCATAGTAGATTCCTTTTCATGCAATGTATTTTTCTCTTGCACTAACTGAAAATAGATTGCTTTGTAAAATTATATTGTGGTTAAAAGTATTAGACAAAATTCTGATAATTAGTGATGTTGCAGAAAGGCATACAGTTTTTTGCAGAAACAGATTTAGGCTTTTGAATCTTGTTTTCACCATTGACTAGCTGTGTAGCCTTGAGCTAGTTTCTTAATGTCTCAGGTTCTCCAATATCCTTAATTTGTATATGAAGGGTAAACAGCACTTGCATTGTTGAGAAGGAAATGAACTAAAATATATGAAGTGCTTAGATCACAGCTCAATTGAAATCCAGCTTGTTCAACCTTAGACCTTATGCTCCTACTAAGTAATACAAAGTTCTTAGGATACTGAAGCAGGTGTGACTTTCACTGCCCTGCCCCCATGACTAACCAATATCTACTGTCCATTCATTATTTTTGCCCTGAGTGTCATACCTCTTGTTTTCCTTAAGGCCCCTCTATCCCTAAAGCTAGCATCTCCAGTCCTGTCTGTTCCTTGTACAGTACTGGATATATCTCCATAAACCCTCTTAGCTGCTTATTTCTTCCTCACTACAGTTACTGTGCTGCTGCTTCTCCACTTCCTTCCTGTACTGTCAAATATACCATCTAAGAGCCTGGTCATGACTGTTTCTTTACTAAATAATGTCATTGAAGTTAGAACATCCCACAAGTCTTGCCACTGGAGACCTTAGTAAAATAAATTTATAATTGTATATTCTAGTACACACACACATCCCATACCTTTGAAGGATGTGGCAGGAAACAGACGCTACATCTTTAAAAAAAAATAAAAAAGAAAATCCAAAGGCCACCGGAATGTAATTCAGCCAAAGCCAAAAGAATACAAAATTCCTAAACTCCACGTGATGTTATAGCATTCAGAGCCAAATAGTAGTTGGATCATACAGTGTGAGTGTTGGGATTTATGTCTACCTTTTGCAATATTGGTTAAAACAAAGATCCAACACTTTACTGACCCTATTTAATTTTAGAACTTTTTTTACTTTCCCAAATTTCTTAGGTAACAGAAGTCATGAAAATCTTCCAAACTTGAATTCAAAGTAACAATATTGGTTCTATTCCTAGAGGGGAGTATAAAAGTTATTTTCCTTAGGTTTTAAAATTTAAAAAAAGTAGATTTAAAATTAAAATAGTTCACTTGAATAACAAACATTAAGAAACTACTGGTTTGCCCTAAAACATTAGAGCCTTAAAACTGTGAAGAATATTCAGTGGCATGGAAAAAGTGATCACAATATAATTTTATATAAAAAGGTACAGAACTGTATAATATTTAATTTTCATGATATATATCTTTTCATACACAAGTCAAAATCCTTTCCTTTTCCCCATATATTAACGGTGGTATTACATGGTTAAGGAATTTAGAAGTGATTTTAAACTTTCTATATACTTTGTAGTATTTTTCAAATTTTCTTTAATAAGCATGTGTTCATTAAAAGACAAATCAGTAAAACTTATTTTGAGGAAAAATTTTAGTTCTTAAATGCAAATTTATAAATTAAACTTTTTAAAAAATCCCTTAGTTATCTTAATTAATAGCATACAACTTATAAGATACATTATATTCTCAAAGTTGTATGATACACCATGCCTGCTAATAAAATAAATTATAATGCAGATTAGGAAAAGTTTCTCCTTATTTTTCTACCATAGACCTCTTTAAAGCATCTCTCTAGCCCTTCTCTTTTTTTTGTAACATTTTCCTCTTTAACCCAACTGTTGCATCCTGCACTTTCATCTCCCTCCTGGACCATATCTTTATATTCATATCTGTATTCCTACCTCTACTTTTCTCCGTGTTCACTTTTCAACATATTATGGCTATGTGTCATATTTTTAAAGTGTGTTCTAGCTATGTGTATAAAGAATTATAGGACCTAAAAGCTAGTGCATAATGTTCTTAATTAAGATGAGTGCTATAGGTTTATTTGCATTTCTGACTGGCACCAACTGCAAAGGAATTTCAGGCATCAGGGATAGGCCCATGTGGGAGATATTTTGGGAAAGTCCATACCACAGAGACAGTTGCTTGCTCTGCATAAATGCCAGCTCTGTTCTCAATCATTATCTCCTTAGTTTGTGTATTATATGGTTCAAGGTAAGTGACCAGATTTTTAAATTACTATAATATTTTACAAAATTATTACAGAGCATTTTCTTTAAGAATCTAGTATATAATTTTTATTTTTTGACAGTAAAAATAACACTTAATTGTTAAGTAAGTGCTCGTTTTGGTTTTTCCCTTTTATTATGTAATCTCGAAGGACCACCTCCTGTAAGTTCTAGAAAAGTATATAATTTCCCCAGAAACGCCACTGATACAATTGCATTGTAGTATATTTATTTTCTTTCTTGTGTTGGAAGTCTTCTAGAAGTTAGCTCTTGATCCTCCATACCCCGTAACACATCTTCTACACAAAACTTGACCCTACTTTTAAGATCTTTGAATTATTTGGGTCATTGATAGTTATTACACTAGTTTTGTATAGTGCTCTCCTTGGGTTTATTACATATTAGATTAAACTATTGTTTATTGTTTTCTTAATCCTGCAGGGTCATAGGAAGAACCACTAAACCACTAATTTTATAAATATAAAAATCTGTCCATATATTTATATATGTCTATGTCTAATATATATAGATAACAATTTTCTCATGAAACTGTATGAATTAGATCTATGACCTAGGTCCTAGGCTATTAGTTTGTCATGTGATAAGATATTAAGAATTGCTGAATATATTGTAAATGCTTTTGC